GGTGAAATTGAAACTCCTTCTTACAAATCTTGCAAATAACCTTGTACTTGTTAACTGTACCATCATCATTCTTTTTATATTTGAATCCGTCAATAGGCCCACTTTGCTCACCTTGCTCCATCTCGCCTCTAGCTCCCAACCACTTTCCTGACCTGAATAATTTGTCACACTGCGCATGCGTGAAATGCGTTAAAAAAATTGACGTAATTAACAGCAAACAACTAATTAACGTCGTTAACGCGCTATTTTTGACAGCCCTAATTAAATCGTTATAGTCTATAAATAGCATATATAGGCAGTGACTTACTTAGAATTAAATACAAATTAAATGAAAAATGACTTATTAGTGCCTTTGAATACATTTTTAGAATTCATTTTTAGAAACACGAATTTGGCCAGTCTGTGGCTTCAGGCTCATGCGATGGTGCCTGGAGAGCCGGCCAGCAGTGGAGAATATCCTCCCCACCCCTGCAGAGCCACTGGGGATGCTGAACACCATTTTGGCCACTCTTGCCAGGTTGGGGAGAGATGCAGAGTTTTTTAAAGTTTTTTTTATATAGGTAGGCCTAAAGGTTTTTAGGCAAAATAACCCAATCAAAACAGAAAGCTCCTTGAACATGGGAATATGCCAAGATCAATTATGGACTATTGTATAGAACTCCAGAGTGGCGCAGTGGTGTAAGGCACTGCATCACAGTGCTAGCTGTGCCACTAGAGATCCTGGTTCGAATCCAGGCTCTGTTGTAGCAGGACGCGACCGGGAGGCCACGGAGCGGTGCACAATTGGCCAAGCGTCGTCCAGGGTAGGGGAGGGAATGGCTGGCAGGGATGTAGCTCAGTTGGTAGAGCATGGCGTTTGCAACGCCAGGGTTGAGGGTTCAATTCCCACAGGGGGCCAGTATAAAAAATAATGTATGCACTAACTGTAAGTTGCTCTGGATAAGAGCTTCTGCTAAATGACTAAAATGTAGATAATAGAACGAAAATGAACTAACCATTTAAGAGATCAGATTTTTTGTTTATAAATACTTTGCTACAATGACACACTTAGTTATCTACTCACCTCCTTCCTTTCTGTTAGCATGTGCACGTAGCAAGTACACCATCATGCTTTTGGGTTTATGTGTCTTTTCAGATTCCACAATGATTCTTTAGTTGTGGACATTACATCACCTCACTCCCTCTCTTGCTCTTGGTCCTCATCTTTGTAATTCACCTTGATTTAGCACCTGTGTGTTTTATCAGTTTCTTTATGAAAATATTTAGTGAACTCCATGACAGTAGCTAAAGCAAGGTGATATACCAGCATACAAGTAGACTACAAATGCATTCTGGGCCGGGCATGCCCTGAGCTCCTGAAGTGAGCACTACTGGAGCGAAATTGGAGCGGGCGAGAAGGCAGACGCTCCATCCTTTGGGAGTCTCGCTCCACGCTCCAGTCAAATTGGGCATGCTCTGCTCCTCGCTCCGCTCCTCGCTCCGCTCCTCACCTCCGCTCCTCACCTCTGCTCCTCACTCCGTTCCTCACTCCGCTCCTCACTCCGCTCCGCTCACATACTCTGGAGGCCACGCAGTCGTGGGTGAACAGGGAGTACAGGAGGGGACTAAGCACACACCTCTAAGGGGCCCCCGTGTTGAGGGTCAGCGTGGCGGATGTGTTGTTGCCTACCCTTACCACCTGGGGGCGGCCCGTCAGGAAGTCCAGGATCCAGTTGCAGAGGAAGGTGTTTAGTCCCAGGGTCCTTAGCTTAGTGATGAGCTTGGAGGGCAATATGGTGTTGAACGCTGAGCTGTAGCCAATGAACAGCATTTTCACGTAGGTGTTTCTTTTGTACAGGTGGGAAAGGGCAGTATTGAATGCAATAGAGATGGCATCATCTGTGCATCTGTTGGGACGGTATTTGAATTGGAGTTGTTCCAGGGTGTCTGGGATGATGGTGTTGATGTGATGGTGTTGACCAGCCTTTCAAAGCATTTCATGGCTACAGATATAAGTGCTACGGGGCGATAGTCATTTAGGCAGGTTACCTTTACGTTCTTGGGCACAGGGACTATGGTGGTCTGCTTGAAACATGTAGGTATTACACACTCGGTCAGGGACAGGTTGAAAATGCCAGTGAAGACACTTGCCAGCATGTCAGCGCATGCTCTGAGTACGCGTCCTGGTAATCTGTCTGGCCCTGCGACCTTATGAATGTTAACCTGTTTAAAGGTCTTACTCACATTGGCTATAAAGAGCGTGATCACACAGTCGTCTGGAACAGCTGGTGCTCTCATGTATGGTTCAGTGTTGCTAGCCTCGAAAAAAGCATAGAAGGTATTTATCTCGTCTGATAGGCTTTCGTCACTGGGCAGCTCGCGGCTGGGTTTCCCTTTGTAGTCTGTGACAGTTTGCAAGCCCTGCCACATCCGACGAATGTCAGAGCCAACATAGTAGGATTCGATCTTGGTCCTGTATTGACACTTTCCCTGTTTGATGATTTGTCGGAGGGCGTAGCAGGATTTCTTATAAGCGTCCGGATTAGTGTCCTGCTCCTTGAAAGCGGCAGCTCTAGCCTTTAGCTCAGTGTGGATGTCCCCTGTAATCAATGGATTCCGGTTGGGGATATGTACTTACAGTCACTGTGGGGACGACATCATCGATGCATTTATTAATGAAGCAGGTGACTGATATGGTAAACTCTTCAATGCCATTGGATGAATCTCGGAACTTATTCCAGTCTGTGCTAGCAAAACAGTCCTGTAGCTTAGCATGCGCTTCATCGGACCACTTCCGTATTGAGCGTGTGACTGGTACTTCCTGTTTGAGTTTTTTCTTGTATGCAGGAATCAGGAGGATAGAATTATGGTCAGATTTGCCAAATGGAGGGCGAGGGAGAGCTTGCGTCTCTGTGTGTGGAGTAAAGGTGATCTAGAGTTTTTTCGCCTCTTGTTGCGCAGGTGACATGCTGGTAGAAATTTAGTAAAACTGATTACATTTTTCCTGCATTAAAGTCACCGGCCAATAGGAGCGCCGCCTCTCGATTAGCATTTTTGGTTTGCTTATGGCCCTATACAGCTCACCTACTCCCCTCGCCCCCCCTCCCCCCCCTCCCCTCGCCCCCCTCCCTCCCTCTCTGTCATGGTATCTGTTCGCCTGGGGGCCCATGCGAGGACAGGCTTGACTATTGGCCTGATATCAAGACTCGCCTGGCGGGGTTCCACATCAACGTGCCACAACTAATTTATAGAGCGTAAGACCCTGGAATGTAGATAGATAGATAGTGCTGGTATCTGGGGTTAGGTGTCGTAAGATTTGCATCCAGTTGACTTTCTCTGTCACACAGTAGATACAGTAAACGTTGTTTTATTTATTGATCCATCTTTGATATGTGAGAATTTGTTTTGTCTCCTACCCCAGGAACTGCCTTCAATTATGATTGAAAAGAGCCCACAGCTAGAATCTGAGTCTCTCTCACACGTTGCCATGACAAAAGTCTGTTATAGGTTTAGTTAGTACTTCCCAATTTCAAAACGTTTCATCCATGAACATCAGCCAGCTAACACCTGAATGTCATGCGGCGTGAGACATGGTAGACAGTCAACCTGAAACACAAGTGTCCATTATATTTCAAAGGATCTCCATTATTCGTAATACAGACTCCAATGAGGCAGTGGCAAATGGCTCAGTCTTCTCTAAAAGGAGCGTTTGAAGGAGGGATGTCTGGAGGGCGACCCCATTTATGTCTCAAGTACAGGGGGATGAACCAGAATATAGTTGCCATTTTCTCCAGTGGATCATCTTTGGTGTTTTACCTCAGCAGCGCCTTAAATACTTTTTTTTTTAGAAAGAATGCTAGGGAGTGTAAGACAAGGAGTGAGAGAAAGATGGACAATGTCTTCAAAATAAACCTGACCGGACACTTCACTCGGTTTTGGTTTCCACAAACAATGACACTGAACATACTGTATGCTTAGTGCTGATTCTTTCAAGACCTCTACTACTCTTGCCTTCCAAAAGAGCCATTCCAGTGCCAGACCAATGACGGTGATTAACAACAGTCTAATTAAAGATCAATGGAGTCGTGATTTGTCAGATGAATTAAGAAGCCCACTGTCCATTAATGCCATAAACCAATGTCACCATGATAGATATTGATTACAACCGCTCAAAACTAACCGTCACCCACTTCAGTGACGGGAAATCTTTATGGTGTTTTGTTTTTAAAAATGACCCTCATAGACGCCAATTAAGAATGGTAGTACATCCCCCTTAACCTAATTATTTTTAATGCATTTAGAAAGGGTAAATTATGCTGGTCAATAGTTGCACATAAATTATGTAGTTTGGAGTGTAATCTTTAGCGAGCATACGTCTTCTTTCTAATGTACATTTCTAATCCAGGCCCCGGGGAGGTGAAGAGCCTAGCTGTGCATGTTTAAGATTAATTTCTCCTTTGGTGTGTTTAATGTAAAAATAAACATTTATCATTGAGTTTAAAAATAGTCTGGTTGTATCTGGCAAATATGTAGCAAATCTAAGCAATGTACATTGCTCAAATGGTACCCAGTCACAACCATCCATTTTAGTGTAACACACAACAGACTCAAGTCACCATAGACGTTAAATGCCATCATGAAAGGCCAAGCCGTTCTTTAGTTAATAGAAAGAGGAATTTAGATGAAGTAGTTTATTAAAAGCACACCAAAGGACTTCAGGTTAATACAGAACGAGGAAGACTTTACATCATGATGTGGTCGGTGACACTTTGCTTCTTGAAAGTCCAATATATTGAAAACTTTACATTTTGGGAGTGTTTCAGTACTAAAAAAAAAAGTGTGGATTTTCCCTTTAATGTCAAGGCATCAATAAACATCAGAAATGACATAAGACACACACACAAAAAAAAACATACTCGTCAGTATTATCCAGGTAGTACTATCAGTTATGTATAGCAGAAATCAGGACACCTTACTTCGGATTCCTGGTTGTCCTGATTCCAAGGAGTCTTAATAAAGCCTTACTTGTTTTGTTCATCCTGGAAGGGAGTCATTTCAATGGTCAGAGGGTCTGAACCCCCCTGGAACTGCTTGGAGCGAACCTGACCCTTTGTAGAGCTAGGTTCCACTTCACCTTGGTCCTGGATGTCACCAGGTTCAGGCTCTTCAGTGTTGGGCACTGGCCCTTTGGGCTGTGGCATTTCTTCCTGAACCTGTTGGTCACTGACAGTAAATAGTGGTAGGTATTGGACTAAATTGGCTGATCTCCATTGGTCGTTCCCGTGCTCATGGTCGGTGGTGTCAGCAGGGAAGGCCCCAGTGACAAACAGCTCATCATATTTAGCCGTAAATCCTTCCTGGCTAGGCTCTGGTCTAACAAAGCTGGGTAGGGGGTTGGGCTACTTTAGCAGGGTCTGGAATAGAGCCTGCCTCTTCAGGAAGAGGTTGGGGGGGAACCATTGGTCTGCTGGCTCACTCTGACTGCTGCCATGCTCATAGATGCTCGCAAAGTGAGAGAGCTCTCCTGCCTGGAACTTTCTTGGGGGAGGTGGTAGGAACTCACACAGGGGAGGTTGTGGAAAGACTAGGGTAAGATGTTTCAGCAGGAACACATCCAGTCGTTTCAGGAGCCTGAGGAATGACGTAAGGGGAAGCAGCAGTCTGGGCAGATTTATAGGGGTCTGGAGCAGAACTCTGAAAACTGGGACCACCTTCAACAGGCTTCCCAGACTCAACAGGACCAGGGAGGCTTGAGCCAGGACTGGAGCTAATGGGATCACGTGTTAAGGGGGTCAAACTAGCTGGGTTTGACAAGTGGAGCATCATATGTTGTAGGTCTTGGGTGGAATGAGCCCATCCTGTAGGATGAGCAAACATTGAGTACCATTACCTTCAGATAAAAAAATAAGAAAATGCCTAGCAAAATCCCACCAAAAGGTTCTCTAGTGGAAAAAATGTCCAACACATTATGAAACACAACACTGCAGTGGTGATCTTACCTTGTTGATAAGGATAGCAATGAACACCGCAAATCAGCAAAACCAGGAGCCCCCTGGGAAACACAAAACCAGGAGCCCCCTGGGAAACACAAAACCAGGAGCCCCCTGGGAAACACAAAACCAGGAGCCCCCTGGGAAACACAAAACCAGGAGCCCCCTGGGAAACACAAAACCAGGAGCCCCCTGGGAAACACAAAACCAGGAGCCCCCTGGGAAACACAAAACCAGGAGCCCCCTGGGAAACACAAAACCAGGAGCCCCCTGGGAAACACAAAACCAGGAGCCCCCTGGGAAACACAAAACCAGGAGCCCCCTGGGAAACACAAAATAAACAACTATTAAATTACAGAAGTGAAGAACACAAATATTCACCTTACACCTGTCTTACCTTGAGCACAGATTAGCAGCCATGATACCCATTGAACAGTGGGGAAAGGTGTAGTGAGGAGGAGAGACTGTATTTATATGTTGTAAAGGACAGTTTAGGACCAATCAGAGCCTGATTAGACAACGACGGACAGCCAAAGTTAATTGAGGCCCAATTCCACACCAACCATTGTCCCTAACCCTTTTGCCCTTGTGTGGATCTGAAAGAAATTAGATGTCAGGGTGTAGGGTTGAGTAAGGAAATTCCTGCACCATCACCCATTTCAATTCTGACCATGAGCACAGGAACGACCAATGGAGATCAGCCAATTTCGTGAGGTACCATCCTGCTCCCATCCAATACCAACCACTATTTTCTGACAGGACCAGCAGTGACCAGTAAGACGACGCTGACCTGGTAAAGTTTCTGCATTTGATTTCTCTGTGTTGATACAGGTTCATTAAAACCCTTTCCTCCTCTTCCTAAGGTGGTCAGTTATCTGCACTAACCTGGATCCTGCTGTCTGGTGGTGTTCCACCACATCTAATAAACTACTTGATCTAAATGTATCTTGTCTGGGTTGGTTGGTTTATCCATTTATCTAACTGTGGTTTAGTCCTTCACGGTAGCTTCAACATTCAGTCTGTACAATATCAATGTATTTTTCTTTGAGAATAGATTCGCGTTTTACTTCTGGACACAATTTGAAAAGGCGTAGTAGTCTGTCAGATTCCATTGTTTTTAGCATCAACAACCATTCTCGTTATCTACTAAATCCAGGCGCTGAGATTTGACTAAAGCCCCTTACAGAGCAGAGATCATGCCCAAGATTGCATAGTTGTCTCTACATTGTGGCAATTTCCGGCACTTGAGCCTCATTCCCGGACTTCCTAATCAGCTTCTCCTTTATGCAGCGTAATGGTGTTCCTCTCAACACGTGAACAGCTCTGTCAGAGCCAACACAGCGGTCTCAGGCCACAGGACACCAGCTGCAGACACTTTTCATGCTCCCCATCAGATGTCTTGTCTGTTCTAGTAAAGTAGACCTCGTGCCAAATAGGAAATATTCATGTTATTGGTTTCTATTGGTACCTTATACGTTCCATGCTTTCTGATTCTAACTGACTGACTCTAAGACACGTTGATATTTTTTTTTGTCTCCCACCTATCTCATGTGCTATTGTGATCAATGGACTTGATTTTTGTTTTACGGCTGATGAAATTAAATCCCAGATGTGTGCTCTTGGATAATTATCTTGCAAGGCATCTGACCTAATTGATTTCAGGTTGGTTCATCCCTCATACATGGGACATTTAACTGAGCTTCATTATGACCGAGTGATCCATTTATTCTACATGGCCAATTATGCTTCAGATTGTAGAACGATACTATAGCGTCTTATTCAAAACTTTAAGCTTACTGATTGTCGGTAGATTTTTATAAGATAAGTAATTTGCCACATATTAGAAAACATCAGGCAATGTCACAATCTGCCAGAGGTATCCCTGTCGGTGACAAACACACTCCCTCTCCCAGCTGCACACACACCCACACCGACACACACACATAAAGCCAAATGTGCTGCCACTAAAATTTGCATGGTGCTCAGCAATGCATTAGTGAACATCACTTGGCAATCTGTTCATAGGACCTTAATTGGATTTTCATACCGCCTCTGATCTTGTTTTCTAATTAATGTCGGTGGCTGCCAACCAAGCAGAACCGTGCACCCAGCAACACCTTTGATCCCGGCCATATGGAGCTCCTCCAAGCGCCGCGGCAGGGACGTAAAAATACCCCCTCACCTCGAGTCCTCCGTGTGGGAGAATACAAACAACAACAGGCCTGGTGAGGAGAATGGGTGGATGGTGGTAGGAAATGAAGGAGTGGGTGAGGAGAAGGGGTGGATGGTGGTAGGAAATGAAGGAGTGGGTGAGGAGAAGGGGTGGATGGTGGTAGGAAATGAAGGAGTGGGTGAGGAGAAGGGGTGGATGGTGGTAGGAAATGAAGGAGGGGGTGAGGAGAAGGGGTGGATGGTGGTAGGAAATTAAGGAGGGGGTGAGGAGAAGGGGTGGATGGTGGTAGGAAATGAAGGAGGGGGTGAGGAGAAGGGGTGTAGGGTTGTAGGAAATGAAGGAGGGGTGAGGAGAAGGCGGAGGGTTGTAGGAAAGTAGGGGGTAGAAGCGGAAGGGAGAAGGTGAGGGAGAGAGGGAGGGAGAGGGTAAGGGAGGTATGGAGGGGGAAGTAACGTGTTAACCAACAAATCCCTTCAGTGTTGTTATTGATTAATTTATCTCACAATCAGTTGTGATTACAGATAAATAAAACATGAGGGGTGGGACCATACACAACAACCCCCTCCTCTCCCTCTCTTGCTTCAGGGAAATGTCAATAGCTTTTTATAATCTATTTATCCCCCCTCCCCCCCTCCCCCGCTCCCCCTATGGCCACTCCAGGGTCTGTGTCCCAAATCGCACCCTATCCCCTATACAGTGCACTACTTTTGGCCCGATGAGCCCTTGACAAAAGTAGTGCACTAAAAAGGGAAGATAAAGGATAAAGGACTGACAAAAACCTTTCCTTTTCTTTTTTTCTCCCCTCTTCCCCCCTTCCTTCCTGAAGCAGCAAGGCCTTGACCATACACCTCTATCTACCCACCTAGCATACCATACACCTCTATCTACCCACCTAGCATGCCATACACCTCTATACCCACCTAGATACCATTTACCCCTCTGTCTACCCAAGCATAAACGACACATAATACCCACTAGCATACCTATCTCTCTACCACCTAGCATACATACATCTCTATCTACCCCTACATACCATAAATCTCTATCTACACACTAGCAGCCTTGCATACCTATCTACCCACCTAGCATACCAAACATTTCTGCTACCACTAGCCATACCATGCATCCTATCACCCCTAGCATACCCACCTATCTACCATTACCCCCGTAGCAATACCATAATCCTATCTACCCACACTAGCATACCCATCAACTCTATTACCCACCTAGAATACCATAATCTACATCCTACTACCACCTACCCATTCCTATACATCTCTATTTATCCACCTAGACTACCACATGCTTACATTCCACATCCTACCCACCTAGCATACATATTCATCTCCATCTACCCACCATACCCTACCACCTGCTTCATACCATCATATCTACCCACCTAGCATACCATATCTATCTACCACCTACCATACATACCACACACTCTACTAATACACTATATACCATGACTGCATTACCAGCACTCTATTACCCATACATTAATAACCTGCACCTACCCATCCATACTCTAATCTCCACCTACCACCTTACATCTTTATCTACCCAACTACATACCAACATCTCTATCTACCCACCTAGCATACCATGCATCACTATCTACCCACCTAGCATACCATGCATCTCTATCTACCCACCTAGCATACCAAACATTCTATCTACCCACCTAGCATACCATGACATCTCTATCTACCCACTAGCATACCATAATTCTATTACCAACTAGCATACATGATCTCATCCCACCTAGCATACCATCATCTCTATCTACCCACCTAGCATACCATACACTCTATCTACCCCTACTACCCATACATCTCTATTACCATTAATACCACACCTACATACCCATACACATACCACACCTGAATCTACCACCTAGCATACCATACATTATCATCATACCCACCTAGCATACCTATCTTATCCCAACTAGCATACCAGCATCTCTATCTACCCCTACATCATGCATCATATCTACCCACCTAGCATACCTGCATCTCATCTACCTACTAGCATACCTCATCTCCTACCTACCCACCTGCATTACCATACATCTATCTACCCTAGCTACCATACACTCTCTACCCACTAGCATACCATACATCTCTATCTACCCACTTAGCATACCATACATCTCTATATACCCAACTAGCTACCATGCATCTCTATCTACCCACACCAGCAACCATACATCATATCTACCCACCTAGCATACCCATGCATCTATCACCCACCAGCATACCATACATCTCTATCTACCCTAGCATCCATACTCCTATCCCAACTAGCATACCATACTCTCATTACCCACCTAGCATACCATGCATCCTATCTACCCACTAGCATACCTATAATCTTATCTACCACCTAGCATACCATACATCTCTTCTACCCACCACATACCATACATCTCTATCTACCCACCTACTACCATAAATCTCTATTACCCAACCTAGCATACCTGCATCTCTTCTCACCACCTAGCTACCAACATTCTGTCTACCCACCTAGCATACCTTAGCATCTCTATCTACCCACCTAGCATACCAACATCTCTATCTACCACCATAGCATACCATATATCTCTATCTACCCACCTAGCATACCATCATCTCATCTACCCATACCTAGAATCCATTATAATTCTATTACCACCTAACTACCATCATCCATCTATACCATCTCTATTATCCACCTATTATACATCTTCTATACTCCCTAGCTACCCACCTGCCAATCACACTATTTCTACCACCCATACCACACCTACACCCTCTTCACCCACTTCTACATACCCACCTATACTACCCACTTATACATCTCTATCTCCCACCTATACACTTTTACCTACCTACTACGACACTACTTATTTAATTTTATGTTTTGTACACATAACTCGTTATGCATCACCCTAGCTACATATTGCTGCTATCTACCCACTAGCATACCAAACATCTCTATCTATCCCCACCTTAGCACATACCATACTCTCTATCTAAACCGCGTAGCATACCATAGATTATATATACCCAACTAGCATACCATGCATCTCTATCTAACCAACCTAGCATACCATGCATCTCTAGCCTACCCAACTATGCCTACCATACATCTCTATCTACCCACCTAGCATACCATACATCTCTATCTACCCACTTAGCATACCATACATCTCTATATACCCAACTAGCATACCATGCATCTCTATCTACCCACCTAGCATACCATACATCTATATCTACCCACCTAGCATACCATACATCTTTATCTACCCAACTAGCATACCATGCATCTCTATCTACCCACCTAGCATACCATGCATCACTATCTACCCACCTAGCATACCTTGCATCTCTATCTACCCACCTAGCATACCTTGCATCTCTATCTACCCACCTAGCATACCATACATCTCTATCTACCCACCTAGCATACCATAAATCTCTATCTACCCACCTAGCATACCTTGCATCTCTATCTACCCACCTAGCATACCAAACATTTCTGTCTACCCACCTAGCATACCATGCATCTCTATCTACCCACCTAGCATACCACACATCTCTATCTACCCACCTAGCATACCATATATCTCTATCTACCCACCTAGCATACCATGCATCTCTATCTACCCACCTAGAATACCATATATCTCTATCTACCCACCTAGCATACCACATTCCTTTATACATCTCTATTTATCCACCTAGACTACCACACTGCTTTATACATCTCCATCTACCCACCTAGCCAATCACACTATTTTATACATCTCCATCTACCCACATAGCCTACCACCCTGCTTCATACATCTCTAACTACCCACCTAGCCTACCACACTGCTTTAAACATCTCTATCTGCCCACCTATACATCTCTTTTTACCTACCTAGCATACGACACTACTTTATTTTATTTTATGTTTTTGAATGACAAATAACTCGGATGGCATGGCACCAGCTAGCTGTAATTGCTGCGTAGGCTATCATTCGTATAAATCCACACAGGCCTTTGCTCTTTCTTAGACGTTTGGCTGGCTAATCACTACGGCATCTATTCCATTCTATTGTAACTTCACAAGTTTAGTCCCTATGGACCCTGATCAAAAGTAGTGCACTATATAGGGATTAGGGTACCATTCTCTGGTGTAAAGTAGTGCACTATATAGGAAATAAGGTGCCATTTGGGACACAGCCAACAGACAGACCTCCTGAGTGTCAACACATGACCTTCCACAACAATGGCTGCCGCAGAGAAGCAAGGCTTTCTGCAGTGTTCATGCCAGTGATTGCACCTGAAGGATCTCCTATTCACAAGGCGTGTTTGTCCTTCAGAGAGCAATTATTCTGAAAAATGTCTATTATCTTTAAGAGATTTTTCTGCTGCTTGCTGCGTAGGCTGGAGTATATCCATATATATTTTTCATCTCTCTCTGAGTCGGCGGCGAAGGCCTATTGAACATGTGACTTATTGTGATTCCTAGCTTGCGAATGACTGGCAGTGCATTAAGACTGAAGTAGAATCATCTAATGAAGAGTTTACCACAGGTCTGAAGCCTATCTCCTTTTTAAGAGTGTAAAGAGAACAACCTTGGCCTTCTTTAAGAATATTACCGGACAATATAATGTAATCCAGAGTCAGGGCTGCTATTGTATGTCTCTAACTTTCTGACGTCTATGTGTCTCTGTATGGTTGAATGTGTTGAATGTGTGCCGGCTAGGTTAAAATATGTTTGTGTTTCACGAATCACTGTGTCTTTGTTTTACCTAGCAGTGATTGGCCAAGTGAAGTGGTGAATGACCTTCTGTTATGGGGGATTGAAACAATGGCTCACATAGCTAGTGTCAATCACTATCTCACTCACCCATCTAAACTCATCCTTGTTGCCTGTCTCTCTGTCTCTCTAAACTCAGCCTTGTTGCCTGTCTCTCTGTCTACTGTATGTCTCTGTCTCTGTAAACTCAGTCGTTTCTCTCTGCCTATGTCTCTGTCTCTGTAAACTCAGCCTTGTCTCTCTGCCTATGTCTCTGTCTCTGTAAACTCAGCCCTGTCTCTCTGTCTCTGTAAACTCAGCCTTGTCTCTCTGTCTCTGTCTCTCTAAACTTAGCCTTGTCTCTCTGTCTCTGTCTCTGTAAACTCACCCTTGTCTCTGTCTCTGTAAACTCTGCCTTATTGCCTGTCTCTCTGTCTCTGTACACTCAGCCTTGTCTCTAAGTCTGTCTCTGTAAACTCAGCATTGTTGCCTGTCTCTCTGTTTCTGTAAACTCCGCCTTGTTGCATGTCTCTTTGTTTCTGTACACTCAGCCTTGTTGCCTGTCTCTCTGTCTCTGTAAACTCAGCCTTTGTACTTGTCTCTCTGTCACTGTAAACTCTGCCTTGTTGCCTGTCTCTCTGTCTCTGTTAACTCAGCCTTGTCTCTCTGTCTCTGTCTTAGTAAACTTAGCCTTGTCTCTCTGTCTCTGTAAACTCTACCTTGTTGACTGTCTCTCTGTCTCTGTAACCTCAGCCTTGTTGCCTGTCTCTCTGTCTCTTTAAACTCAGCCTTGTCTCTCTGTCTCTGTCTCTGTAAAATAAGCCTTGTCTCTCTGTCTCTGTAAACTCTGCCTTGTTGCCTGTCTCTCTGTATCTGTAAACTCAGCATTGTCTCTCTGCCTATGTCTCTGTCTCTGTAAACTCAGCCTTGTTGCCTGTCTCTTTGTTTCTGTAAACTCCGCCTTGTTGCATGCCTCTCTGTTTCTGTAAACTCAGCCTTGCTGCCTGTCTCTCTGTCTCTGTAAACTCAGCCTTTGTACTTGTCTCTCTGTCTCTGTAAACTCAGCCTTGTTGCCTGTCTCTCTGTCTCCATTATTTCAGCCTTGTCACTCTGTCTCTGTAAACTCAGCCTTGTTCTCTGTCTCACTGTCTCTGTAAACTCAGCCTTGTCTCTCTGTCTCTGTCTCTGTAAACTCATTATTGTTGCTTGTCTCTCTGTCTCTGTAAACTCAGCCTTGTTGCCTGTCTCTCTGTCACTGTAAACTCTGCCTTGTTGCCTGTCCCTCTGTCTCTGTAAAATCAGCCTTGTCTCTCTGTCTCTGTAAACTCAGCCTTGTCTCTCTGCCTATGTCTCGGTCTCTGTAAACTCAGCTTGTGCCTGTCCTCTGTCTCTGTAATCAGTGTCTCTTGTCTCTGTAAACTCAGTCGCTTGTCCTCTCGTACTCGCCTTGTCTCTTGTCTCTTTGTAAACTCACCTCTAGCCCGTCTCTTTGTCTCTCTGCCTATGTCTCGGTCTCTGTAACTCAGCCCTGTCTCTCTCTCTGTAAACTCAGCCTTGTCTCTCTGTCTTGTCTCTCTAAACTCATCCTTGTCCTCTGTCTCTGTCTCTGTAAACTCACCCTTGTCTTGTCTCTGTAAACTCTGCTTGTTGCCTGTCTCTCTGTCTTTACACTCAGCCTTTCTCTAAGTCTGTCTCTGTAAACTCAGCCTTGTTGCTGTCTCTCTGTCTCTGTAAACTCAGCCTTGTTGCTTGTCTCTCTGTCTCTGTAACTCACCTTGTTGCCTGTGTCTCTGTCTCTGTAAAATCAGCCTTGTTGCCTGTCTCTCTGTCTCTGTAAACTCAGCCTTGTTGCTTGTTCTCCTGTCTCTGTAAACTCAGCCTTGTTGCCTGTCTCTCTGTCTCTGTAAACTATGCCTGTTGCCTGTCTCTCGTCCCCAAACTCTGCTTGTATGCCTGTTGTCTTGTTTACTCAGCCTTGTTGCCTTTTCCCTGTGAACTCCTCCTTGTGCCTGTCTAAACTGTGGACACACTCACTTGTTTGCACTGTCTCTTTCTTGTAAAATCAGCCTTTTGTTTCTTTCTCTTTTCTCTGTAATCAGCCTTGTTGCTTGTCTCTTGTCTCTGTAAGTCCGCTTGTTGCCTGTCTCTCTGTCTCTGTAAAATCAGTTGTTGCCTGTCTCCTGTCCATAACTCAGCTTTTCTTGATTCTGTCTTGTAACCCACCTTGTTGCTGTCTCTCTGATCTCTGTAAACTCGCCTGTTGCTGTTTGATCTGTCTCTGTAACTCCACCTTGTTGCCTGT